AGATACCCTTGCTTTTAGCGTGAGACCATCGATCTTGAACTGTAAGCGCTAAGAACTGTGGACATTTATCAATGGCATGGTCGTAGGAACACATACTGCATTTAGTTTTCATTGTCGAACTATTCCCTTGCTCTGATTGCACGTGACAGTTCGTCTTTACGTTATGTCCTTTTCTAGAACGGTTTGCTAACCGTCCAAATCTACTACAAGCCACTCTCGCACGCGATGCGATAAACTGAGTGAGCTCGTCGAAGGTCGGCTCCCTGTTATCTTCAGTCAATTTATCCACCCAGTCCGCCCACTGGGCTTGCATAGGTTGAGGCAAGAGTCTCACTATTCTTCCCAAGGTAACTAAGGAATTTAGATCAGAAGTATAATTCATTTGTTCCAAGACCATGGCACAGTTTTCCATTTTAATAGCCAAGTTTGATAGTTGGTCCCCGTCAATATACTCAAAATTCACAGCACTGAATAAGTCCTCTAGTGTTTCTCGAGCAATTACGTGAGTCTGTCCGAATAAACGTTTAAAATCTCCCTTGCTCTTTTATAGCCAGAGAATGCCTCCATCATGATGCAACCTTCAATAGCTGTTTTAGCCTTGCCCTTACAATAGTGTATCAAATAAAGCAAGCGCTGGCTATCATCCGTGACTCTTGATGCTACATACGTCTCAAACTGCCTTATAAACTTCCAGTATCCTCTTGGCTCTCCATCGAAATAACTCAGTTCAACCTTTGGTAGTTCTGGGCCAACAACATGAACTATAGGCAACATGCTCTTTCCTGGTAATTCAGGCCTTTGCTTCTCCTTTAAACTAAGATCTTTTACGTCATCTGACATCGAATTAAGACTAGAATCACTACCATGATAATCAACCCTATTTGAGTCTGAACCATGACCCTTAAGGACGTCAAAAGGTACTTGCTTGACAATAGGGGATTCTTCATTAACATCGACGAACTTTGAGCTTGATTTCCTTCGACGATTAACTGGCATTACAAGCGAAACGACCAATTATTTCCAGAAAATCCGCGAACGATTACCAAAGGATTTCGGCCAAGTAATAATTGTTTAGAACTGTAAAATCCAAACTTCGGTTTGGATGTTGAAGAATAGCCGACTGGGGACTTTAGACACGCGCCCTTTCCCGTCGAAATCAAAACAAGTAATCCGGTAAATAGCGGTTCTATAATTCATCGTAAATTTAAATGTAAATCGTTACCTAAACAAATATTACCACCCGGCTATTCAACCAATAATTGTTCAATCAATAAAATCTAAATTACAATAAATAAAGAAGTTGATAGAAGATGAGGGAAAATTACCAGTCAAAACAAATGAACGTTATTCTATCCTGACTGGATAGAACACACACAAAAGGAGGAGCAAATCAATATGGCTACCGCCAAGAACAAGTGTCAAGTAAAACAACACAGATGAAGTTCAGGAAGAAACACAGACTTAGTGAATGCGTAAGAAAACAAAAACTATAATAAAAAATACAAGTATTAGCAATTCAAATGTAATCAAAATACAACAACGTACAACTAAGGGGATCAATAGGAACAAAGTACAAGTATATACATGGAGGGATTTTCACCAACACAGAAAACCTTCGAAATGGATCTTACAATCGGAACAAAGGTTATAATACACAACAGGGAGAAGGAACAAATAAATGACAATACTGTTCAACAAAGAAGCTGAAGTGGGATTTTCATCGTTCTCTTTCCGTTACAGAGTGAGTTTCTTCTTACCTAGGACTCATTATCTTGACATTAATGGACCCTACAGTTGATGGGTAGTGGCAGTGGGCCCCAACCACACAATCCTCAAAGCTGAACACGAGACAACTGGGAAACTAGATGTTCAATATTTAACGCGGAGAAAAACCAAAACGATGGAGAATGCGAGAACAATGAATTGAATCAGTTCGAATTGATCGGATGGCATGGCTCGGCTTTGCAGTCGTGGTCACTGTTTAGGGTTGTTATATACCTTTTATCCATGTTAAATATATTGTTCCATCCCCAGCCTAAATGTGTTCTTCACCGTATATTGATGATTGTTACGATACGATGATTTGGTTTAGGCAACAACAAGTTCTCAACTTTGGGGATTTACCCCCTTTGTTATGGTTTACCCTTAACCCATCTAGTTGACCTTTTAATTCTCATATATAAATGTTCTTAACAAGTATATATGTGATCAGACTGTTCGAAATGTATCGCGCATATATATTACATAATTCTGATAAACTTCGTCTTCTCATTCCATTATCGAAATTTATCAAAGGGACTAATTGTTTTAAATTTTTCAAAATTCTCACGCCATGTAGGTGGGTTAATTGTGCTGTCCAGAACTTGATTACTGTTTTTGTCCAGTGTAACTTAAGTTAGTTATCTCTTCTAGAATAATAGTTTACAGCTCGATATGATTGCTAAAAAGCGAGCTAAAGCCGCTAGAGACTTAAAGTTAATGGGATGTCTCAAATCAACCTTTTGCTGAAGGTTTAGGAAGTTAAGAGCTGACTTTGCTAAAAAGGTATCTTTTAACCACCACTGGCTGTGAAAACCATCGTTCCCTTGTTGTAGAAGTTGAGAGCACGGCGATTGCAGAGCAGTGTGACAGTATTGTCTCACAATCAGCCACTGCCTCATGTAGTTACTGCAGTGTCCAGCCATTACAGCCAACCGTATGGTTCATCTTTATCTATTAATAAGCTATAGATTGTCAACAACTTGTTGGCTTACGAAGGCTGTGACGGTAAGGAACACTTAGTCTATAATGTGCATAGTTTAAAGGATATTGTTGACGATGTTATCGAGCACGGGAATTTAGTGTCACTTTCTGCATATCCTTTTGGATTCTGTATGCCAAAAATTAGGTGTTCAGCACACTGAGGCTTTTCCGCGGCTAAACAAACTGTATAGCGATATGCAGAAGTTTACTTCCAAAGTGCACTGAATCAGGACATGGCAGACAATTTGACTGAGTCTGAGGTTAGTTATGATTCTTGTAAGGGAGCCATCACTTGCAAAAACTAAAAGCTAACAACCACCAGACCTGACAATGCTGTTATTGCCAACGGGAAACCAGGGTTGATAACACAAATTATTGATGGAAGCAGGATAAGGGTTGAGCATTTCATAAACCGTTAGATTTTTTTACTGACCCATTTCCCTCTAGTACTATAGACATATTCAGGCATTCTACCGTAAGCTACGAATGTACGTAGATCACACCTGCAGATATACTTTGTAAGTATATCTGTATACCTACACAGCTATTTAAGGTAATCATTCCCCTAGGACATACATGTCAATAACATGACATCATTTCTCAATGACTGTCACAAATGTAATATTTTTAGCAGTAAGTAGGCCTGCTGATTAGTGCTTTGACCTACTTCATCTTGAGATGTGATCAAATATTCACGAATATATCGCTGTTTTAATTACAGCGATAGATCGATTAACGTTAAGTTTCTTTGACACTGAGTAATTGACTAAAAATAATGGAATATCGCAGAAAAAACTGTACGTATATATTCTTGCCTGGCTTTTCCGTGATATCTGTGGAAATTTGTTGAGAAGTATCGCCTTAAAACGAGTTTGCAAAAATTGTAATAAGATTATGGTGAAATTTTGGGGAAAAGCGCAAAATTTCCCCCAAACTGAAAATTTTCTGGGATTTACTAATAAATATAAACCGACTTCCCCAAAGCATAATAAGATTCTGGGGAAATTCCCCAGGTCTGGAGAAATTTTGGGGTTTTATTGCCATTTCCCCAAAGTTTACTATAGCTGCTTCCCCAAAATGGGTTAAATTTTCCCCAAATTGGGAGATTGGGATGATGTGACTTCCACACAGGATCTTATAGATTAAGCAGTTACATTATGACAAATCCACAATGTTAGGATTAGGTCTAATATTAGATCACTACTAATATCATTGTAGACCATAATTCTACAGATGTTCGCCCCGTGATTTCAGCTCAGTACGGTTCTCTGGACTCACCAGCTAAGTGGACAAAGCGATGGTGTTTGAAGCGATCGATGTTAGAGTTCCGGAGAGAAAATGAACTCAGGAATGCAGGTATATCCACCCTACGAGTCCTGACTGCGACGAGAGGCGCGGTTTAGATTCCACTGTTAACCACCATCCGACTGTTTAGAATGCAATATCGAGGTGGTCCTCACATGATGGACCTGAAAATTACCGAGATCAAAATAACCGATACGAATGTGTAGTGAACTTCTTCTATCAAGAGAACGCGATTGGTGTGATGGAAGCAATTGTTATTATTGTAACCAATTGTACCACGGATTGTTTTACCGTACTGCAGCCATCAACTGCCTTCTGATATTTGGCTTACGGAGGATCTTATCGGTTAACTGGCACATAGTCTTCCTGTGGTGGTGATCATAGTCAGCGGAGACTCGACGCCACACCACAAACGCATCAGTACTAAAAAAAGGTTTATGTGGCTATCAATGTCTGTTTAATATAGATTTCTTTAACAAAACTGAAAGGCTTAGACGTATTATTTGGCTAGCAATAAATTTGCAGTCAGTGGTTATAATCATCCCATGTGAAATGGTTTGTCCAAACTTAACCAAAACCTGTTTAACAGAAGGAATAGTTTGAAGAGCGCTTTGAAATGTTCTACTAAAATATATTGTTATTCCTTTATTCTTTCGCTCTGTCTTGTATTTAAACTTCTTACTTATAAATCTTGGGACCATGTTTCATATTTCCCAATGTTTTTTGTCTGGACCGTTATCATTTAACCTTAGCAAGGATTTAAAGACTTATTGTAGTATAATGCCGGGTCATAGATAATAAGGTCGTAATTTACTAAACTCAGGGTTACAGAGTGGTTTAGTTCAGAATTGTTAACCTTTGACCACCTGCTGGAAACGGTTATGCGGATCCTTGAAGGTAGATTTTTGACCTTATTTTGTTGTGGATACAATTATTGGTTCTCTGATACTTGATTTCTCTTTGTTAACCATACCTTTGGATGTTTACTGAGCTTTTCCTTGTACGAGAAACCTTTAAGTGTTTGGCGAAAATTGTACCGATTGAGGTACTTTGTATTTTGGTGTAAATTGGTTTCCTTGTAAACTTAGAGCCAATTAAATGAGGCAAAGAATTTGTGTTTGGATATAATTTAATACGACTGAACCAAACAATCCTTTCGATCACGGTTTCGAATGTTTTGTACGTAAGCATGTGTTCATTTGAAGAGTCTTTCCATGGATACTTTTTTTGACTATAACCCTTTATGTTACTCTTGAATGTAAAACTGTTAATTTTAACACCTTAAGTTGAAATCCCGTTAACTTTTGGATATAAATGAGACTGTGATCATTTTCTTTAATCGTAGCATTGATTTTCAGGATATCTCACCCAGTTCATGTGAATTTGACAGTTTAATTTAGTTTCGTTTGACTTGGCTCCTAATCATGACGGAGGACATCTTTGTTTTCCTCAGTACGACTGTTCTTCTAACTGATCAGTCTGATCTATTCAGGAAGGAGGGAAATAAAGTTTAATCAGCAGGATCACCTTTTCTTTGATAAATGACAACTTTGTACCTCCTATTAGTTTATCTATCCAATATATTTCATATTTAATTATTTAGTCCGCTCAAACAACTCTTTAGGTTGTGTAGTTTAGTAGTTCTATTCGTTTATGTGATTTGATGTAACTTATATCAATGAACTATCAAACAATTTTTAAGCAGATGTTGCACAAAATCTCATTTAACTGCTATCGATTGGTTAGAAGTTTTCACGTAAGGTCATCGTTTTTAAATGACGAAAATATGAGAAAAATAAAGTAATGCATATGCACATAATATATAAAAAGAGAAAGAGCCACCTAGTGAAGTGGTCTTCAAAAGTTCAGAAGACCGGCTCGCCTATGAAAATACTGTTGATACGGTATAATCGGACGATTCTAACATCACAATACTTTAATAACGATAACTTAAAGACAAACAAGGAAAAAGGTGTCAAGAGTTGAGAAATTTCAGTTGAACGCAGCAAATGTTTAACCGAGTGACTTCCCCGCTGACCATATCGAAGAGAATAAACTTACACCAATTGTTTTGGGATAAGACGAGAATACCTGGCTGGAAGCTTTCAACGAGTTGTGTTGGTTTTCACTAACAAGGTCGACATCTATAATCCTCAGAGCTACTTGTTTTGGTAAGCCATTCAAAAAGGTATAAATGAACATATTTCTTCGTCGAAGGTAGCCTTTTGAAATGGTATCCTGAAATACGAGTCCTGAGAATGATTTGTCCTATAGAAGGCACCAAATCCGCACACAACACAGAGTGTGATAACATATGCGCAGCAAAAAAGAAAATAACTGACTGCCCGAGATTATAATGAACGATCATATCAGTGTTTCGTTCAGCCATAAAAGTTGTCATATGTTTACAACTCAATGGATGTAAGAATCCTGTTCGGTATGGTTTATATGAAATTGATAATAGAATGTCATGAAGTAAATTCATCTGCACACACACACATTTGCTACACGCTAAAAAACGGTTGAAAATACTCAATACTAAATAATGTATTTCCGTGTTCATCTTGTTTTGCTAATGAGGAATGGCAACTTGGACAGATGAATATATATGCCTAGTTCTACGTTGTACCCGACTGACTGTATTTTCGTAGACTAAGCCACTTTACTATAGGTACCACTTATTTTGTGCCAACTTTGTCATACCAGTAAACCAGCCTATACTCAGTAATTATTTTCAAAACCTATGGCCTCATCAAAATCACCAGTGTTATTCACCATATCAGATAATCAGAAACTTATTTACCTCAAAATACACTCAATTACCTGTTCAACTTGAGCTGTATGTTCAGAGATACGGTTGAAAATGTGAATAAGTTTTCAATTGCTAGGTGGTTACTAAATTATTTTGCGAACAAAATTCCGTCGTTTCTGAAGGGAGAAGTTCAAAAAGAATGCTACACTTACGAGACAATATGTAGAATCAATAGGAAACAATGAATCCTAGTCATGCCATGTTGCGCCGGACGTGTTACCTCGGAAGATTGATTAGTGGACGTTGAATTGAATAAATCAGGACCAAAATACATAGATCAACAACATCATTACATTAATAATAGTCCAATTTGATAAAGGATGAGATAAGGTCTCGCAGAAGTAAAACATGCGTGAGCGTTATAATGCACATGATCATATCGCAGCAATCACTCTGTGACTATTGATTTCAATGATTAATCAACGTAACCATAGTGGAGAAATAACTGGGAGACAAGTTCGAAACCATTCACCTCGTAACTTCACTAGGCACGATATTAGTAATTCGCCTGCTGAATAGTAAACGAACTCCATGTTAGTCTAGGACCATGTCTCTACAGCGAATCATGCCAAAAAACTTGGAAACCGAACTTACGAATATTGCAAGGGAACGAACCTCACACAGCAAATGTTAGTTTCGAGATAATCTGTATAAGCCTTAGTTTACGAATGAAATAGACCAAAGTAATGACATACCATACAAATTCCCAAACTGTAGTCTTTGGTGTCTCAACCCTAGAACCACAAGTTGAGAGCGAGCGCTGTATCGATATAATGCTGGAAGTGGATATTGAGAACAACAGATACACTTACTTGAGAACGAATACACTTGCATTGTAGAGATGATGCTTACATCGAACCAAGCTAATGTCATTTTCACCAACAGCACACTCATCATTAGCCGAGTACGTGCCGTGGAACTTCAGGAAGAATCTTATTAGCTAAACGACGAGGAAACAGATAACTTACAAGTCTGGGAAATTGCTTTACGTATATTAGATTTATATCACATACCGATATTGATAATAGCAATTCACATCAATAATATTAGAATTACAACGCTTTTAAGGTGTTTACATATGGTAAAATACAATAGTTCACTTCATCAACTTGAATAGTATGATTAAGATAGAAGCTCCTATGAAATTAGAAACTTATCAGTGTAGAAAATAAGCTCGAAAACACATACACAAACACTAAAGGACAAAAAGATGAAGGCGCAATGAAAGTGATTTGAAAAGACACTAAGTTAAGTTTTACAAGATTACATGTATATTCAAGGAAATTGACGTGTCTTTGTAGAAATCCAACTTTGAAAAAGACAAATGAGTAATTTTGCGAACAAAAAAATATGAGTTCATTTGTTTTTTTATTTATTATAAATGATGAATGAATATAGCCGGAATTGAACCGAAAGCGAAGGCATTGGAAGGGTAGAGGTATAAATACCGGACTAGGATGTAAACCAGATTTATATAAGGTGGATTTGTTTACCCAGGATGCTGTTGTGGTACATTTAGAAGTGAAGTTAAAAGAACTGATATAACAGAGACTGAAAACAATTTTGACAGTAAAATTATTAATGGTAATGAAATGAAACAAAATAACACTTAGTTTATGATTTATGTAGCTGCCAAAGTTGTAGCACCTTGTGGGGTAGTGTAAATTGTTCTGATTTGTCGATCATTTCCCGATATTGAATGCCCTTCAGGATTCATTCGAATTAAATGAGCACCGTTGATTTCAACTTTGAAAGCTCTTGATACACAGGAATCGACAGAAAAAAGTTGTTCAGAATTGAAATTCTCACCAACTGTAGGTGTTGAAACGTAGATGGGTTCTAAGGGTGCATCATTTACAGCTGTAGTCAATGTTGCAACCGGTTGTTCATGAACCTTGAGTGGAAAGAAATGAAAATGATTAGAAATATTGAGCATCGAATCATACAAATTTTATGATTTACACTTAATTACTATAATACACAAATGACTTCTCGATTGCAAATATTTTGATTTGATAAGGAATAATTGTTGAATAATCCAATAAAGTTGAACATAAAAAAACTAATACTCTGTGACGGATGACTATGATTTAACAAGCATCTAATCCATGTTGGATACAACTATGAAACACAATTTTAATTCCAGTTATTTAAGTATGAGGACAACCATTCTATATGCAATACCTGTAACAACTTTGTACAATTAGAATAATAAACAAGTATTTAGTCGATTTAATGATTGGTAAAAATGTAGCACACAAGAAAAAAAATGTGTTGATTAACCAGTAGTTAGAAATCAGTTTAACTTGTGGCAAGCCCATTTGTCTATTCATTGTAACTCAAACTCTTAATTCACTATGTTAATTCGGTGTGTATGATCGAATGCATGTCTGTACATTAACTCTTAAGCTATCCTCCTATTGGTTTCAATGTGCAGATAATCGATAATTTATCCACACCCGATTAACTCTCAAAAATATATATGGATTTTTAACACACACACACACACACACCCTCCCTCTGTTTCATCGTGTGCTTGCTCGCCATACGCTTGTGGATTATTATTCATCTTTAACAATAAAATAAAATATCTCTACAACTGGTATTCAGGCTTCTGAATAATCTCGAGTAAATCCGTAATTCTACTAGGAGATTAAGCCTACCTAAAATACTCAGTTAACGGGATATTATTTATTGGAGTCAGATATTGAGGACATTAGCCTCAACAAACTCCACTGCCTACGCAAAATACTTCAGATCCGTTGATCAGATACTATCAGCAACAACCTACTGTGAGAGAACAGACCAAATTTTAGAGGGGGAAGAAGCAGTGAAAGTGGATAGGACGCACAATGAGGATAACACCCAACTGTGTCACAAGACAAGTCCTTACTTCAAATCCTCAAGGCCAACGGAAGAGAAGAGGAAGACCAAAGAACACACTACACCGAGAAATGGAGACAGATATAAGAAGAATGAACAACAATTGGAGAGAACTAGAAAGGAAGGCTGAGGACAGAGTGAGTTGGAAAATGCTGGTTGACGGCCTATGCTTTATTGGGAGTAACAGTCGCAAGCAAGTAAGTAGAAATCAGTTACTGGTAGGATGAAAAAAACATGACAATAAACAAAAACTTGGTTCTACATATTTATTATAGAATTTAAGAAAAATGTGAATTTTCACTCAAGAAATTGTAACTTGTACCTGTCTAACTGATACAAAATAAAATTTAGTGAGTATTGTGTGTGTACGAGAAGCGCTACAGAAATTTGGTTGAAAAGTCAGATGGCTTTTTTAGTAGTCACAAGGTACTTGACGCTTAGTGTGGTGTATAGTAATCTATATGTAATCACTGACACAATTTCATCAATTCATGTAAGATTTCGTGAAAGAAATTTAGATACAAAATAGAAATATATCGAAGTGAACAATAAGAGTATGAAATAGATATGGGACAATATACAATAAAGATTGAGATATTTGGATAGTTATATTAACAATTTTTTCTTATTCTAGGGTAGATGAGACTATTAATTATGGACGACCTATGAGCAACGCCAGACTGATCTTAAGTGTGTCCACCTAATGTGAGGAATTAAAATTATGACATCAGTTATAATGTCAAAACTCTATTTATTCGAATGAATGAGTGAATTTCGCGTCAAACTCCATAACTTATAGTCTCTCCCTAGGGTATTTACATAATGAAATATAAAATTTCATGTATTTATAAATTTGCTAGTGCATATAACAAACAAAGATATTGAACTGGAAAAATGAATAATTTCTTAAAATATTTAGTAACAATTACTCCTGAAGAATAGAATATTCATTAACTGATTGGATTTAATTTACGAATAGATAGAAATGTCCAGACAGTTCTACTGTACGGAACTGAAACTAGGAGAACTAATACAATCATCATCAAGAAAGTACAAGTATTTATAAATAGCTGTCTTCGCAAGATACTCAACATCCATTGGCCAGATACCATCAGCAGCAGTCTACTGTGGGAGAGAACAAACCAGATTCAAACTGAAGAAGAAATTAGGAAAAGACGATGGAAATGGATAGGATATACATTACGCAAATAATCAAACTGCATCACGAGGCAAGCCCTAACTTGGAATCCTGAAGGGAAGCGGAAAAGAGGAAGGCCAAAGAACACATTACGTCGGGAAATAGAAGCAGATATGAAAAGGATGAATAGCAACTGGAAAGGATTGCCCAGGACAAGGTTGGATGGAGAGTGCTAGTGATCCTCAACGAGGAGTAACAGGCGTAAGTTATTAAAATTTATAGGCATAAGTATCAAGTTCATGTTTCTGACATTAAATCATGAACATTTTAAATGATTAAAAATGATGGAGTGTTTAAATTTTCTAAATGTCAGCCAGTCATAAACAGTTTTTAATCTATTGTCATTTGCATTAATTTAAGGGGTCACAGTTTGCACCAGTACAGTCAGATGAAATTAACAATAACAACAAAAGACAATGATATAATATAATTAACGGTGAGAATAAGGTTAGAATAAGATATGAATACTAAGTTCAACATTTAGAAGTTAATAAATAATAAAAATGATTTGGAACCAAATCAAGTTAATAATTTAAACATACATTAGAATTACTTCACAACCTTTTAAATACAGTCTAAACACAGACTAATGATATGTTTGATTTGTACGATCATAATCTACCACAGTCAACATACTATTATAATAACCAGCATATCAACCCATGGTAAGTGGTGGTTAGGTTTATGCAACGCTTCATTTATTTAAACACAGACACTGGTACAAGGAGGTACCAGATATATGTGCACCATACTCCATCATTCGGTTTGTGGGAGGGCTGGAATAATGCACGGGCTCCCTATCCCAAGCAGGCGGTTTTCTTTGGGGGCCACATCCCGAGCGTTTGACGTAAAGACCCAATCCACAGGGTAGTGGAGCAACATCAAAAGATGCAGCCCCATGGTAGTCGGTGACCGACAGTAGGTTCCTACGCCGTTTGTTCCATCAGGATCCGAGGCCCCATGTGCACCATTGGTTTGATATCAGGGTTTTCCAACTCCCTTACGTGGATACTTCATATCTATCAACTCAGTTAAGGCGTCGGAAATTCATTTTCGTCCTCTTAATTTCGAAAAATACATCCCCGCCACGAGAAGGCAGTGACTGTATACGCGTAGTCATGTGAGAGAATTTCAAGAGAAAGAGAGCTGACTCTCCCCTATCCTCGACTGTATCGGGGCATTTGGGGGCCAGAAGTGTATTTATTACATTGCACCTTCGAAGTGCAAAGTACTTTTACAAAACTGACAGGACCTTGATTATGCACTCACCCTGGGTAGTGAGCAGGTAGAAGTAATCGAGAAGTTCGGGTATCTAGGTAGCTGCATAAGTGCTGGTGGTGGCGTGAGTGATGAGGTCAATGAAGGTATAGTGAAAACCAGAGCGGCTTATGCCAATCTCGGCCATCTTTGGCGCCTTCGTGATGTTAGTCTGGTTGTAAGAGTTCGGGTCGACAACGCGTCCGTGAGAGAAGTTTTGATATATACCTGTGGAACCTGGCCACTGAGTTGAGGATCATCGTTGTCCGAAAGATTGTTGATATCTAGTGGCAACACCATATTAGTAATGCAGAGGTTCGGCATCGTGTGTTCAGGCACAGTGACGATAATTCAATTGGTATATCTTGAAACATCGATTTCAGTGTTCAAATAAATAAATAACAAATAAACTTATGTAACACATGTCCCATCCACTTGATTCAATGAAGGTTTAAAGCCTGATTGAGAGATTTACTACATATACCTATTGCTTTGAATATCGACAACACAAAAAACATTAAAACTTACTGTTGGATCAACCATACGAGGGTTGCTGATTAAAACATATTGTTTTCCGTCTGCTGAGCCTCGAACAACAGCATATCGATAAGGAGTTGCAGTATTAATTGTTGTATCTATAATAAAACATGTGCATTTTAAGATTTATTAATCTAAAAATGAGTTTCACAAATAATAGAACGGGTATATCAGTGTTAGAGAAAAATCGTATTTTCCCACATAAATTGTTGGCTGGTTCAATTATTATGAGCAACAGTTTAAAATTAGTATTACAACAACATAAATGTTGATTAATAATAAAGAGGAACTTGTGTGATCGACTATAGGGAACACAAGACAGCTTTACAGACTAATAAAAGAAACTGGAATTAATAAGTCAAGTGTAAGTGAGATTATATCGGAAAAAGACGATACACTCATCTGCTCCAAGTCCAGGCGTTTAGAACGATGGGTGGAACACTTTAGGGAACAGTTCAGCTGGCCTTCAGCTACTCTACAACTACCCTCCATTCCCAGACAGTGTGAATGGAACATTGAAGTAGGTCCCCCAACTCTAACAGAAGTTCAAAAGGCTATAGTTAATCTGAAACGAGGAAGGGCAGCTGGTCCAGATGGATTGGCTCCAGAGGTCTTTAAGGATGGTGGTCCAATTTTAGCGATTAAGTTGACTAATATTTTAGCTAAGATCTGGGAATTAGACTTTATCCCATCTAACTGGTCGCAATCACTTATCGTCCCAACATATAAGAAAGGGTCAAAATCATCCTGTGACAACCACAGAGGGATTAGTTTAACAAACATAGTATCTAAAATACTGGCCTCGATAATTATCAAACGCCTAACTAAGACTCGTGAACTACAAACTCGAGAGAACCAAGCTGGCTTTAGACCTGGTCTGAGCCATGTTGGTAGATGCAGACTACTTGGTTGGGGTCCGCGTGACTTTCGTAACCAATGGTTGGAGACTCTTGGTGACATGGCTCAGAATCGATCACAATGGCGTCGGTGTATACACTCCCTGTCTTCCCTTAAACCAAGAGACTAAAATCACTTCATTCTTTCTGTCTACGAACTAATTCTTTCTTCCTATACTATATCCTTATTGCAACCTTTGAACTAACCACTCCTATGAATCCGCTGTTCATCTTGCTGTGCTAATGAGGTATGGCAACCTGGACCGATGCACATATGTGCCTGGTCCTACGTTGTAGCTGACTGACTGACTGACTATATAATATCGCTTTCACACTGTTAAATAATAATGACCAGATATAAGATGTCAACTTAAAAACCTATCAATCTAACAAATTATGCAACTTCATGAAAAGGACTTTTCTGAAAACCTATTTCACTGATCAACAAGATAAATAATGTACCTGACAAGTAGTTGAACAATTACAACAGACTACTATCTCGGTGAAGGCAAACAAAACAAATAATAATATATTTTGAGATAGTACTGATAAATTGTGTTATGGAAGAGCGAATATCGAAGTGCAACTATTTGGACTAATTCAAGGATTGCTATTGTTTATATTTTTACTGTATGATTAGTAGGTGACTGCATTATTGTATTTCTATATTCTCTTAATTGTAAGCCGTCAGTGGACCCATTATCTATTGTTATGCATTTCACCATTCCTTAATTATAGCTAAATACTTATGAACTATTTGCTTCGCTCTCTGCCACTTATGACATCATATATAAAGCATGATTTAATATTTGGGATATGTTGTGGTCTGATAGTTCAAGTATATATGATAACAGTGTTCGAGATAGGAGCTGGGTGGTTGAAATATAAAAACAGAAGCTTAGCTGTTGTCTTCTATCATTCGAACTAAATGTTAGGGCATTGGTGGGGCAATAGGAGTTAAGCTTACGCATTATTGGTCAAAGCTAAGAATGTTAGGCTATAGACGGGTATACACGGGGTAGATAAATTATGATCACAGTTCTGAATAGAGAATCTAGCAATTCATATCGGTTAACTTCTTAGATATAACAAATAACTTCACTAACAGTTAGTGATCAATGTGTTCCACCGCTCTACATGATGTAATCCAATGACTCATGTTCCCGCATATGACTGAGAACTGAATGAAAGTCGGTATACAGATATTTATCCCGAAAATATAATTGTTGATTTAACTAGTATGGTGAGACAATTTTTGTTACGTGGATTTTTTCTATAATATACACCTTATCGGTAGAGTTTGGCTATTGTGAAATATAAAATGAAATTCATGACCAGGTCAATAGTTAGGTTCAACACCGATACAGCTGAAAGGTAAGTGAATTATTTGTTTAGCTAAGTTCATCTCATATTTTATTGTCAGGGTCAGTGAGGTCATCTATAAGCGTTAATAATGTTTACATTTCGAGTCTTAACTTCTACTCTTTCTACTTAGTTGGTTAGGGTTAAGTGTCGTAAGTGCGGATAGTAAAGATGAACATTTGTTTAAGAACATTTTTTCAAATACAAACAATACACGCAACATACTTGCTGGCGCTGGACTCTGGTGATGAGTTGTCCCTGAATTCTGAGTGGTATTTGACACTGTATTATTAGGAGTATGTGATGTGTTTCTATTGTAAGCAATGAGACGCTTACCAAACAAACGATCACTAGCAGTTTGATTAGGATTTAAACGATCTGAAGGAGTTGATGTTGTAGTAGTAGTAACTAGTTGTAATAACTTGGTAGATGTGTTGGTCAGATTCCCAGAAGATCCAGACTCTTCCATAGTTATGGAATTGATAGGTTTTTGTAACTGTCCAGTACTGCCAGGATTAAATACATTAATAGTACGACTAGAGGATGTTGACAGATCAACATCATTATCGGACGTTTCGAAAACTGAAAATTACGATAATAACATGGGGATTTAAGAAAAAGGCACCATAAACACTGGAAATTATCATTTGCTAAAATTTTGTGATTAAACTCAAAACCATTATTGTGGAAAGTCATTGTATCATTATTTCACTTACCGTTGAAGAACTGATAGCTAGTCAATTTTCGCTTTATATGATAGATATTACATATTAAGAGGACTGAAGAATGATCCTAAAAACCATTCGGATGATACTTAGATCGTGAGCAGCAGTTCAGTCGAGGACCTCAGTTTCGTCCTATTTGAGGATTGTCAGCTGGATGTAGTACGTAGATCCCTATGTAGATGTCCATACTGCAGATTCCCAAATATAAAAAACACATGCCCTGGATTCTCCAGTTAATCAAAATCTATTTATTCCAAATAACTTATGACATCATAGGTACATCAGGGTAATCAGAGCAAAACCCACATATACCCCAATGCCCTGGTATGGCCGAGAGTGGGGTGGGTCCGCCCTCCCTCTCGAAATACTCTCACACGGCCACGCGTATACAGCCTCTGCCAGAGAAGTCCTACTCACTGCCTTCTCGTGGCGGTGTTGTCTACGAAAATGAGAGGATGAAAAGCGAATGTCCGGCGCTTTAACCGGATCCAAAACCAATGGTACACATGGGCTCCAGTATGCTGAGGGAACAAATGGCGTACGAACCAATTTTTGGTCACCGGCTACCATGGGACTGCATCTCCTCACGATGCTCCACTGCCTTGTGGATCAGACCTTCAGGTCAAAGGCTCGCGGTGTGGCCCTCTAAGAAAACCACCTGCTTCGGTCTCGGCACCCAGGCAGTATCACAGCCCACACATACACAAATATGGAATGGCGCATATATATTTGGTGCCCTCTTGTACCAATATTTATGTGTTGAAATAAATACACACACACATATGCCAACAAAAAATGATCAAAATTCAGTCCTAAATACTTACGGAATAACCCAAACCCAAAGTAATTACTTCATATTATTTAGGAATCGGTATAATATTTTGGTCCAGTTCTTATAGAATGTTGGGTGGGAACTGTTTTGTCATGGATAATAATTCGCGTATAACCAGGCAACCTCAATTCGTACATGCTTAACGCCACTCCTTGTTGAACAATTTGCACCTAACCTAAGCACTACTATTAAGTTGGTAATTTCAATACACGTGACGCATGAGTCAAGTAAAGCAGTGGTCGATTATAATCGAAACAATTCCCGCTCCAAATAAAAGTGAGAAGTGTTTATTGACCACTTATCATCTTGATAAATGAGGTATTAGAAATATCCTTAATTCATTGTTCAAAAAAACTACTAAGCCTTACCTGTTGGTCGTGAAGCGACCAGTGAATTGGAGGTTGTCGAGTTGACAGTTCCTAGTGTTCGCTTTAAAATAGTAGGACGTCGTCGAGAAGAAACTGAACCAAGAGTAGAATGAGGAACTGACATGACAGGCTTCGTTACAGGAGTTGTGACTGAACGTGTTGTATTTGGCGCCATAAAAACACGAGAGATGATGGGTTGTTGAACGACCGGAACTAGAAAAGAAAACAGAAGACTATCATAAATCAAATACACTAATGATTACTATGCTAATATGACCAGGTTAAAACACATAAAATCGGAATATTCGTAAAACAACCTGAAGCATCTGAACTAACTAAAGGTTTTAAAGGAAAACTCTTATAGGTATTGAAACTTTAATTGCAATTCTTATGATGAAGAAAACTTTTTTTCGTTACTCTGTGAAATATAGTTGAAATCAATAACATTTTTCTTGAACTAACAGTTATTATATGTAATGTGTTATCTTGAATTATAGAGAGCATATCATTACAATTGTCGTATGTAAACATTTCTTTCTAAGGAAATTTATAACATTGAAATTATGGAAATTGAATAACTAGATATTATCGCTTGATCGATGCATGATAGATGGGCATTTGTTTTTTTATTACACTCTACTGGATCAACACTAATATCTCTGTTATAACTGTATTTTAAAAATCTAGTTTGGTTATGTAAGTACTTCTATGGAGCACAACAATAAAATATATTCTTCGGTGTTTGTAGAGTTTGGGATCTAGCTTTACCAACCATTTAAGACAAGTTATGCATCCTGATGCAGTAATTAGATATTAATTCATATACTAGGTATTATATGTAGTTCGACAGATGGGGATTATTAAATTATATCCTTGCGAAGAGATGAACACTATTGATGAATAGAAACAAGTGGTTAGTGATAGTGAACAGGTAAACAATATTCTGTCGTTATACTATTGAACAGTATAAATTTTTTTGGAGTACATTAGTGTCAAAAAGGAAGTTCAGAGAAACTGGATTTACATTATATTAATCTATTATAATCTATATGATTAAGAAATATATTTTAGTTATATGGAAGAGTTTGGGAATAATCTAAAAACTTGATTGTTCAACAATACATAATTTTTGACATAGCTCTTTTGCCTAGTGATTTGGTGGGACTATAATTTATGGACGACAATAGACTGACTTCGAGAGTATTCACTTAATAACTAGGACCAAATAAGGGTTATAAACCAGTATGAGAAACTAGAATTATGATTTACAGTTAATGATTAATGTTAGGAATTAGATTTAGGATTTTCATCACGAACTGACATCAACTATAATGCCAAAACTCTATTTAGCTAAGTGGGTGATTTCGCGCTATTCCAAATCTGATTGGTTTGTCCATAAATTGTAGTTTCGCCAGTAATTTTTCACTAATTATATATATAGAAAAGGTAGGGATTTTATGTAGTTGTTTAATTTCAGATATTTGGTTATTATACGAATCCATGTTTATTATCAATTTACCATTTAATGAAATTGAAGATAGTTGGTATTTCATTAATCATTAAAAAAGGAGATTAAGAGACTATTTGCACATTGATGTAGCAGTTTTTGACTGTGTTGCTGAACTAAATGGATGATTCAGAGAGTGCTCAATGTCGAAACATATAGACTGGGTTTCGCAAGGATTAACCATGCTTCGACAAAATTGTGACAATACGGATTATTGTTGGACAATCAATTGAATAGAGTTCATCACTATACATCACATTCTTTGATTATGAGAAAGGATTTGATAGTGTGGATAGGCGAACTGTGAAATTCACTTCGGCCATATGAAGCACTTGAGAGAATCGTCCTCATTATATGGTGGATCAAAATATTCTATCGGTAGAGAATTGTAGCGAATTAAAAATTGGAAAACATAATAAGAAACTATATAATATATAGTTCACAATTACCTGGGCGTGTAGTAGACTGAGTAAGAAGTGATGGCAATAAGCCTGACGAAACTGTTGTATTTCCCTTTGATACATTCGGACTATCAATACAAACTGGAACTTGATTAACAGAACTAATGGATGTCAATGTTAGAGGTGATCCAGAAGACAAAATTTGATGTGAATGATCGCTGATTGAGTGAATTTCTAATTCCGAATTGTTCACAACATAACTGTTTTCTAAGGGCTGATTAGACTCGCCAAGCGATTGTGAATTGTTACCAGACAAAACAGAGCACATTCCAGATGTTAACACATCTCCATCATGGCCAAGATCTAAGTCTGATAACGACCTGGTATATACAGTATTTGTAACCACAGATGGTGATGTGAAGACAAACGGGCTACAATTAAAAAACACAAGTTGAATTATTAGATGATGATTACATGATATCCTAATAATGGCAGTGATCGAAATATTAAACTTACTTATTATCAGAACCTGTGACTAACATAGTCGGTGATGCATTACTAGGTGCTGCGGTTGTAGAAGTATGAGTGGTTTTTGTTCTCAGCACTTGCATTGGTCTAACAGGAGATTTTCGTCGACTACTACCTGAAGATGAATTGCAGGATAACATTGCTCCAGTATCTGTCAATGTAGAGACTAATACGCCATCAGAACTGGTAGCAGTGTTTGAGCCCGTAATGATGGAAAGTTCTGGAGCAAGTAAATCTTCCTCCAGTTCCTCTTGAGACTGTTGAACTCGTCTATTAACGAGTCCATGTGGTTCCGCAGACTCCAGATCATCTTCATGTATAGCTGTTTTATCTAAATTGGTTCTTAAATGTGCTAATTGATCAACATTCGAACTAATGCAAAAATCAAGAATATTAGTGGTGTGTCGATCAATAGGAGGAGAAATCTCATCAGAACGAAACATAGTTTGCCGTAAAAATGTATTGGTAGGTTCTGCAAAAAAACAAAGCAAACATTATCTTAAAAACGTAATAAAAGTTCACTGAAGTGACATTTGAAATAGCAGTAATTCATTTGACTTAAAGTTCTAAAGCTCTTAAAGTTTACTTAACATCGCCTGTAGCCCTTTTGGGGTTACTGTCGGTCCCAAGACCGAGTAAAGTAGGGGGGTTTGGTATGGAGTCAATAACAACATTCCGTAGAAAACAATCTCGCTAAAACACGTCAACCAGAATAAACAAATTAAACCATTAAAACTGCCCGGAGAGTTGAAGGGAGAATTATGTCGCGTTATGCTGAAAGTCGAGATTCTTCGGAATTCGCGAGGCCGATGCCCCTTCTAAAAACCAGAGCAACAATTAATATATGTACATGGAATGTTTGGACAATGAGGGAGGCTGGGGGGACCAGTCAAATAGTTACAGAAATGACTAAATACAATTTTGTAGTTCTCAAAACAAGTGAAACACGGTAGACAGAAAATATTAGATTCGGGAGAGATGCTGTTATATTGTGATTATGAAAAAAATGCTTCGCGCAAGCAAGGAGTTTCACAGATGATGTCCAAAGAAGCACGTAAATCACCTATACGGAATCTCATGGATCCAGAATCATCAAGGCATTATTCAAAAAAAGGGGGAGATCACAATCAATGTCACAGAATGTTATGTACCCACCAATGATAGTAATAAAGATGATAAAGATCAGTTCTGAGGCTGCAATCGATCATAAGGAAGTGCTCAGGAAAGGATCTGAACATCCTGAGAGATCTAAACACCAAAGTCGGAACGTAAAACACAGGATAGAGATATCATAGGATGAGATGAACTGAATGAGAGAAAGGTACTAGGATGGTGACCTTTGCAAATTTATGTAGTTATAGGCGGCACTATATATTCCCCACAAACGCATACCCAGCAAAGTTACATGGGTCTCGCATACACTACAGAGAATCGGATCGATCATATTTGCATCAGTAAAAAATTTACAAAGTCAATGGAAGACGTGAGAACCAGGAGGAGAGCTAACATAACTTTAGATCACCATCTACCTGGAAGTTTCCAAGATGAAAGTGAAGCTAAAGAAACACTAAACAAGTGGGGAAACTGCACAAAGGAGATTTAATACACCCATCCTTCGATATGTTAACAAACTCAACGAATTTAAGATAGCTTTCAACAACAGGTACCAAACCCTACAAGATCTACTAACAGAAGGGGAAACTAATATGGAGCACAACTAGAAAAGAATCAGAGAAGCATTAACTTCAACATGTCAGGAGGTCATGGACCACAAGAATCATCATCAACCTTAAAAAATGGATCGCTATGAAAGCCTTGAACAATATAGCAATTAACAACTACCGAACAAGAGTAGTAAGCTTTCTATGGGTGGCACCAACTGGAAATCTTAGGGTGTTACACAATTGCTACGAGTATAATACAGATTGATCAAAACTGATAAACCGTCGAGTATACACTTGGTGTGCTACTAAGCAGGAGCGTAGGTACAAGACTGCCCCTCCCGCCGTTCTAAGTTTTCTGTCTTCGTGAGACAAAGACGTTACGGATATTAGCAGCTCCTGGTCTGTATCGATATTTCAGATATTACTATCAAATGAACATTATTAGAACTACTTGGTCCAAGTAGCTCAACCATTTTGTTTGATAGATTTGCAGCGTTCGTACGTTGGGAGTCAATGCATTCGATTCAAAATACATCCGTGTCCTCGTCCTGTTTGGCTGTACGAGCATCATGTGAATGATAAGAAAACCTAGATACACAAGATTTTCTGAATATATACCCCCTGCACCTTCCTCATTTTTGTTTTTGGTAGCAAACAGGTGTAATAGTCGGTCTCAATTTACCTTCGTGTCTAATCATTGCAGCATGTGGTATGTGCGGACGGGTGTGGGTTGCAGTTGGTAGCTGTTGGCACGAAAACCATTATAAGTGGTAGCTTTATTGAGTAAGAAGAGAAGGTTAACTTCATTACCCAGCATCTAGGATATCCATCTTTCTTTGCTAATCATACAGTTTTGAGGGACAGTAAGACTAACCTGACCGATAAAAACTAATCCACTGAACAAAGTATGACGGAAGCCAATAATTCGGACGCAATCGGAAAAAGACTTATCCCTCGATAGTTGTTGCATAAGTGACATGGACCCTTCTTAAAGATAAAGAAAATTATCGATTCATTCCATGGTGCTGGAACACTCCGTAATTGCCAGATCTTTGTACAGAACTCAATACCTTAACCCGAAGGTCTCCATTACTCTTAAAACAAGCCGGAGGTGTCATTTGGACCTGATGAATTGTGGTGATCTGAGAGTTGGTGTTCCTTGCGGAACCCTACCTGATTGGGTGGATTAATTGTCACCGGCTATGGAAGACAGGACAGTCTGATCGATGTCGCCAGAGCAGCAGACCAGCTGAACTGTTTCTCGATAAACTCGATCCAACGTTCAAGACATCTGCAGATGTTGTTGGTTGGCATCCCACTAGCTTATTCACTCACATAATTCTTGCTGCCAGTGCCCCTGATAGGTTGAAAGAGCTCCCGAGAGTTACAAGAGTATTAGCTCCCCGGAGTAGACCGACATGCTCCAATGAGCTGTAAGGAGCGTGTAAAAACCTAGTGTTTATAACCAGAACGTTTCGCCAAGCTATAAGCGACTTTACTTGTCACTTTTATGGTGTCATGCAACTGCAGTCAGTGCTCATCTACATTTTTCGGTGGGTTGATAACTAGCCTAGAACCTAGCTCAGTTTGATATCTAGTTGCAACAGAAGCCCTAACCATTTTGCTGACATCGATCCATTTACGGAGATGAATTTGTTGGCCACTGAAAAGTAAGATTAGCGCAAACAAGGGGATGATCAGATTCCAGATAAGTAATCCAAAAGAAGCAGCAGTCTTGTATATAACCATGCCAGTGGTGGCAGACCGCGATGTGATCAATCCGAGTCAAGGCTTGAAATGCAGATGAAGAAGGTCAGATAGCACGACGGCGATGACTGTACAGATAGTTAGCGCTAGTAAGAAACAGACTATAGACTGTGTGAATTTGCAGCAGACGGTCACTGTCATCTGACCTGCAACGAACAAGTCCTAATTAGTTACCCGAACGACTCCCGTCCCTAGACGCCCAACTTGTAAATTCAAGTTTGAGCTAATACTACAGTATTTGTGGAACACGCTTTCTAAAGAACATTTAACTGGTGGTAGAACTCATCCTTGATCGCATACCGATTGCAATCTGTTGGAATAGGCGAAGATAACGAAAGGACATCGTTTATCACAACGGTTCGTTTTCACTTCGATGGAACTTTCTAATTTAACAGCACATAATCGACTGTTAATGGGGACCCAATTGATTGGTGCTGTCCCAGCCTTGGAACTTAAAGCAACACCAACATCAGGAGAACCAGACAAAGATGCTACAGGACCTCCGGATAAACGCACGTGAAATAACATTTTAAGGCGGTAGATGGGGAGTGAATTCGCAATACTTGTCTACACCGCAAATGATGCGAGTTGGCAAAGGCCAATCAAGCTTTCAGAATCCGTTCTGAGTTTTTCAGAATAAGTGAAGTGGTTAACAGACACAACCTTACTTCGTATGATCAAAACAGGTCAGTAAATATGTGCTGATATTCACTCAGTTAACAATCTAAACAACTAACCTTTTTGGTTACAGCTTGGACTGAGTACACGTCTAAGGTTAGAACGATTCTTTAATCTAGATGATTCCGATCTTCCATGATTTTCCATAGTATCCGGGTTCTGGCCGTGAATAAGCTGTTCTGGTTTCTGAAGTTCACTAAACATGTCAGAGTAAGTTGATATACACGATGCATCGGGATACTATAAAAAAAATGGAAAAGTTAAACGAAATTAATAATTTAAGCATCAAAGCCGCACTACTGTAGCTGAGATTTAGTTAAACAAGTCAACCAAAACTTCTGTTCCTACACATATCGGAGTAGTCACAGGTTGGGAGAAGTCTAGGTCTGCCAAACTGAGACATACCATCAGCTCATAAAGTCACTGACTGTTGGTCTGAACCGCGCAGAAAGATACACGCTACCTGGTTAAAGTTTGTACGATAATCATCAGCGGTTGGCGAAAATTTCATTACCGTGGTCCAGGTAAATTCATTCCCTGTCCTCCCCTAGGTCTTCAGATTCATTAATACCTCGTGTTCCGATTTCTCGCTTGTATCCTTTCTCTTCAAACCATATTTTTATGTTAAGTTTCTTAACATAATTTATGCTACTATTGTTATTTCGATTTTTTTCTATCCATCTTTTTAGATTCAACTTTTTGTGTTGATGTTGTTAAGCATCTTTGATTGAGGTATACTTGTGTTCGGGGTCCTACAATGTTTATAGCCAGTAAAATAGTACAAAAGGTCATGAAATTGTCACCCCTTCAGATTGAGAATCAATCTGATAATCCAATAGATGCAACTGAGATGAAGAAACATCATTTTCGAGAAATTAGTTTAAATCCAATCCTAGGTGTTATAGCACTGTTTCAATGTATGGTAGTCATATTTGTAACTAAGGTCAGGTTTGCCATGTGTAGTATTTCGGAAATCAATTTTGAATGTTAGGGTCAAAATTATGCGAAATTAGGTATAAGAATTATAGCTTGAAAAATATGAATGAAATCAAGAAATGAAATAGCAATAATGTATCTGTGATTGTTTTATGACGACACCTAACCTTTCCAGCTATATTTCACGATCATATTGAGAACCCCAATTATTCTACGCACTAATATAACTGAGATCAGCAGTTAATGGCAATGGTTTACCTAGCACTTAGCTATAAGCCACACGTTGTGTAAGGGCTGGCGGTACTATCTGAATCCCTAAGTCGACGTAAAAAAGAATGATTCAAACTTGCGACTAATTGGTTGTAATGCGAGTAATTTAATCATTAAGCTATCGCTCCGATGAATAATAGCGGCACAGAGTGCACATATATAGCATACATCACCAACCACCTTTTTGCCTATATTATCCTTGAGAACCAGAGGAAATCGAAACGTAGACACTCAGTAACCCGTTTAGAAGTATATCACAGAAGTGAGCTAGTGGTTAAGTGCTCAACCTTTAGCCACTAAGTTCGAGGTTTGAAACCTAGTTCTAACTAATTTTCTGCAGTTTAAAAAATAAGAACCCTAGTTTTTGCTTATAAACAAAATGAATTAGTATTTGAGACTTCTAAATGACAGTTGGCAATTTTGTTGTGAAATCACCATAATTAGATATACATGTCGTGTTTTTAGTAAGTTCAGTAAGATTAGAAAAATATGTACAAAAGGAGTTTGGGTTCGAAAATCTGAAGGCTAAACAACAACAGCTTTTGTATTGCATTTACTATATTCTGATAAAGCTAGCTATAATCAGCATGAAGCCTGATACAAATGCCTCAGAGTTGTCCCGTCACAATATGGGGATTTGAAATCCACTAAACAAATATTAAAGAAATAGTAGTAACGACAGAACAGCATGATTCGAGAAAATGAATCCTCCAACTAAAGTCAGTCAGCTACAACGATCTAAGAGAAAGTGAGTGAGTGCATATGAGTCACTGTGACCGATTTCGCACCATCATCCATTTCTACTTGGTGATCGTTATCATGTAAATTACAACCAGGTAGTCCGCACTTATCAATACGACACAGGTCGGTAGTACCTTTATTAACTGATCGAAAGTCTTGGTTGGTGGTTGTAACTTTTTTGACTCCTACTCTAGCAGCAAGGCATGCTAAGATAGGCAGTGGCTAGGTAATTTTAACACTGATCCTAGTTACAGAGTTCAATGAGTGAGTGTACTCAGCAGTCTGCTCTGTATTACAATATCCCTATGAAAATAAGACATTTGTAAGCTGCAGGTTTTCGAACATAGATGGCTTCGAAGCACTGTTCGTATATCGTTCAACAACCGAGTAACCAACACGGTTGGTAGACTTTGTCATACTCCACGTTTTCTGACTGACGCTGGTCGATGCAGATGAAAAACCTTAACAACCGATACGGACTGTTGAGTACACACCCATAGGTTGGAGACACATTTCGCTTAAGCCACGTGACAATCTAGAGAGGTTGATTTTAAATATAATCACCATATTCTGTTGCATCATGTGTGATATCTTTTGTGATCAGTTTGCAGACTGATTTCACGCTGTTGGTTTGATGTCAAAAGGTAATTACCAATGAAATAACTAGCAGAAACCAATGGCTATGTCCTATGCAAGACACAATTAAACAATGCAGTGGTAAGAAACTTACCTATCTTTTAAAAAAGTCTAGCACAAGAGTTTTGGTGTTAAATACAAAATATCTTACACAGAAACGGCTTAAAGCATAATACGAGACCTAGTAAAGGACAATAAAAATACAAGTGTCAAAATATGTTTGAAAAAGGTTTAACAAAACAGATGCTCACATAGGTCTTAGATGAAAGAATTCCTTCAAGTTCATTACCTTCCCGATCTTCATCGGACGAATAGTACTCTTTATTGTATTTGTCATGTTTGAGATAGTTGGTCGTATCTGATTTGTGTTCAGATCGTGATTTTGTTGCCTGTGATAAAATTTTGTTTTTTCTGATGGGTTTCCAACTACTGTCAATGGAGAGGGGTTGATCAAAAGAATGATGTTCATCAGCTGATTGAGAAGGACTGTACTCATGTTTTGGCTTGAGGCGTCGACCATGTCGACTTTTAACACGAGGAAATAAATCACGATCGCTAGGGATTTGTGAAGAAACACTAAGTTTCGACTTGTGTTTCTTAAGAAGGTTGGCGGAGGAAACAGCCATGAGAGCAGCTGTTGACCGGTCTGTGAAGTGTAGGAACTTTTTCTGGCGGTTACGCTTAGGAGGTTCTACGACGTCATACAAAAACCTTTTGTTGATATAGTTTTCAGCCCCTGAGCGTTTACGCTTCTGTTCGGATAATGCTAAACGGCTGTCACTTGTATCAGTGGGCTTTCGCTTTGGATCTGACATGACTTTTGACTTCAGACTGCATCCCAGGTTAGAAGCAGCGGAGTTTTTCGACTTTCTTTCAGAATTACGGTTATCTTTAACAACAGGAACCTTGTCGCTAGGTGTCCTGAAACTAGTATGAGATAAAAGTAATACTCACGTGGTTAGGTCCTGATCATTGTCATCGTTCTTCGACTTTGACTTTGCACTGCTGAAACTTGAAATAGTTATGTATTATTAGTACCTTATGGACCGGATATGTCTGTCCCTTTTTGTCGTCTTTAATGATCCAGGATTTGGGACAAATTTACGGGAAATCCTACAGGGATTAAAGTTTAAAATGATTTACCTGATATCGTTTCGTTTAGACCGCATTGCGCTTTTTAAGTCCGTGATGAAGATTTATGCTATATTTGTACTCCACATTATGTAACCGATCCAACAGATTATAGATCTAGCTCAACTGACAACAAATCCCTAATAACGTAGCGCAACAATGCAGATCAAAAAATATGGTGATTTGAGTCCATACAAACAAAATCCAAAGAACCATTTCTACTTGTCAAAAGTTATGAAATATCGTATATAAGACTCACAATAGCTTAAGTTTATCAAAAATACGTTTGGTATACTCTTTTTTGTCTGGCTTCTAACTTTGAAACTTCGAATCTTGCATGGCGGAATTAACCAACTATTTCTTCCTTGGGATCTGAGTCTTAGCGATATGATGACGTCTTGGTGTTCGAAAAGTATAGTCCTTGTTATATCCCTGTCAAGGCTGAAGCGTAAAAGTAGCCTTGCTCGCCATTTTCAATCTGGGAGTATAACAAGGCTCATACCTCACAGAAACCAAGGGCTCATTCCAAATGCCCAGATGTATATGACAAGGAACTAGGAGCTCACTGATTCTTTTAAAGAAACTTGAAGTTGAAGTCGGTTATTAGAAGTAGAAGTAATTGTTAAGTGATATTTGGGGCAATCCCTCTCACAACCTACCATAATAAAGTAAATATCAAACCTCCTCTTGTAAGTCACTACAGAAGATACCGCTACTAGCGCCTCGAGTAAGGAATACCACGATTTAGTGATTCTGACCACGTAAAAGTCAGCATCAAATTTTATGGTTCATCCTTGTTGAATTTATTACTAGGGGTACATCCGCAAACAAATTTCCAGAAAAATAGCTTTATAAGTCTTAGATGCAAAATGGATCAAATAGTTGTGAAAGAATTAGAAGAATCTTTCGCTTAACGAGCTCCCATGTTCAGTAGCAATGGGTCACCACTGCCTCCAGTTATGGATTCGGGTGCATTTTACAAGTAGAAAGAAAATATTAATTGCTGTGAAATACTGCCTTGAGGCCTTTAAAATATATCTAGTTTTCCTTTGAAGGACTAGTGAAAAGTCGCTTGTGCTACCTTAAACGACGGAGGATTCCGAAAGTTGAATGTCCGTAAGAGGTGAGTGTAGGGATTTTTGAACCTTCTGTGTTGTGGCTCTACTTTTTGGGTATTTCCTTCTAAGGTTTGCATTATAACTGAGCTTAAGTAGGGATTTAAGGGGACGACCAAGTGTGTTTAGGAAGCTAGAAATAATGAGCTCACCAATGACGCCGTTATACGTTAACTAGGGTGGTCGAGAGAACTGCACAATCGGCTGCCTACTATCAGTGGTCATGCATCTAAGGAGCCTGTTACCCATCAACTGGTTAGGACAACACAAAATAACATCAGCACCAATTTAGTGTGAGTTTCTTCCTGTTTATTCTTTATTAGCTTTTTACTCTTCTGTACACTATTTTGACTAGCAATTAATATTATTTCTTCACTCGTTAGCTTATCTACAACTCATGTACTTCTATACTTTTCCGCCTACTTTAATAGGCAACTATCCTACATTATACCCTTCCTAATGCTTATACTCTGATTGGCATACTATACTTTATACTATAGTCAATTAAAGCACTGCATCGATGCCTTACCCATAGTCTATAACTTGTAATTGCCTGGTGAGCTTGTAAAGTTGTACTTGTAAAAAGATTGTTTTTCAACAGGATGTGAAACACAGAGGATTGTGTGAGGTGTAACATATATCCAAAAATAAGCTTAAATGAGCCTAACATCATAAAAGGAGGGAGGGTGGTTACTGACTAGCAAGCATTGATGTTGAGGGCGATGACTTCAATCCACCAATGCTTGTGGGGCAGAACATTTTGTATGTATCAGGCTTTTTATGATTGGGAACGAGTCAATCAATCTGTGATATAGATTTTCTTCCTACGCTCACCACTCAGACTCATGTTTCCAATTTTATGCTGGATTAGCTATTCTACTAAGACAACCTATAACATGCTAACTCGGACTTTTACACTAGGATTGTGTGGCTGGCATTGGATAAACAAAAAAAGAAGAAAAAGTTAGACAACAAAAGATATAGTCATTAGTATTCTTAACACTTCACCCTCTATATACACACCCTTCTAATAAACCGCTTTCCTTGTACCAGCCCTGACCTCCTTTCCTTCATGTGAGCTTACTACAACTTGTTAAACATCAATACTCATTGTTCGTTATTACTACATTTTCTTATATTGAGCCTCTGACTTCATTTCACTCTAACAAGAGATAATGTGAATTTAATTTAATTTATTATACCTCTGTCTGTTACACTACACAATGTTAAGCAACGTTTGGCGTTCATATCCAAGTTCATTGCTGCTCTTCTATTTTTCTTTTTTCTTTCTTCAGAATCTTGCTCTGAGGGCACAGCTATGGAACTACTGACGTTTGGGACAAACTTGACGTACGCGTCCCCTCAAGGCCATGGTTTACAGCAAGCGCTTTACTCTATAACAACTAAAAATTTAATGAGTTGGGAAGCATGCTGTGCGTCAACAAATGTTGTAATTTGCAGATCATGCCTGTAAAAATGGCATGTACCTGCTCATGCAGAAATATATTATTATTACTACTATCTAACCACAGCAAGTAACAAATTGATAAAAAAGGACTGGTCCTTCCTGAAACTGTGATTTTCGGGTGAAGAGTTTATAGATAGCAGTTAGTCTCAAAAACCAACTTGTATCAAGGACTCCGTTACTTTCGAGGGTATTGAAAAAGGTCGTACCGGCCAGCAGTTTGAAGGTTCATAACGTTGGTATTTTTTGGAAATTGGTATGATGCTTTCCAGCTTCCAATTTTATAGAACCGCCACTTGGCCCAGTGAGTGTGAGGAAATTACACTTTCGAGCCTGTCAATATTGAAGCTGATTCTCTTACTACAACATTACGGACCATATTAGGGCCAAGGGAGGTGTTAAGTTTTACCTCCGAAACGCCTGCTAAGTTGTATGTGAAACCTTCGTCGACGTAGGTTTTATGGGACAATTCAAATGTTTGAATATGTTGTCGAGCCAGGGGCATTGCTTTGCCTAAGAGAGACCGCATAGCGATACGAGAATGGAGATAAATTTATTGACTAGCTTGATCCCATACTAAAATATACCTTTTCCCAGAGCTTACGTGCGTTGTTTTCCTGATCGTTTGAACTGCCTATGTGTGTTGCCGCCTCTGATTTGTTTGTATCCCGCTCAGCAGTACTTTTTAAATCATAAGGTTCAAAAAGTGCGACTGTTTATGACTTCACATTGTATGTAATTTTTGAGGCAGAGTAATTTAGCGTTCATTAAGAAAACCTGGTAAGCGCCCGCGTCAAGTTAAGTGTCTATTTCTTAGTTGATGTGGTGCAGATTGTCCTTTAAAGTTGACACATGTAATGTATAAAAGTCTTAAAATGTGTAATCATTAGGATGGTTAGTTTCAGTCTTGCTGGAGAAATTGAGAGCCATGGCTACGTGATCTCTTTTTTCTGGGGAAATGTGATATTTATAAGTAGTTGAATTATAATATGAACTAAGAATCCCAGAAATAACGTGATCGGATCAAGATGTACTAGGTAATCACAAACGAATGTACTGTATTTAGAATTCGAAATCAAATATTCAACAAGTACAAAGGTATCATTAGTTCATTCAAACACCACATCCGCCACAACTTAAATTGGAGTCTAGGTGTCTGTAATCAATTGTGCATCTTCGCAAGTTCATCCTATGTCTGTCGAACAGTGTATTGGATAAAGACTCTGTATTATCTAGAATGTGCTCATTAGCATTAAAAATAACAACAGAAATCGGAACAGACTCACCTGGTTCCTGGAATTATATTCGATCAACATGTCGATTGGGTGTACTTAGGTCATTGACATCTGAAATTCGCACCATAGATTTTCAGACATTCTTCAGCACAATCCCCGTGGATGGTCGAAGATCATTTCCACGATAATATGTAATTTCTGCAAACTTCAAACATCTCATATTTGAGGGAAGAATTCTTCCTTTAAATAGCTTTGATAGAGTCGTTTTCGTCTCCGAATGTCTGGCGTCTCTGTATTGTAGTAGAAAGGTATCTACTCCACTCTCCAGCTCATTAAATGTTGAGGCGGCAATAGAATCAACAGCAGTTTTCAATATCCTGACAAAAGTTTCTGCCTGATCATTAGAACACGGATGTCTGGGAGCAGTAAACAGATGTTTGCACCGTATACTGTTCAACCGGGTAGTGACTGCATCTGCAGCAAAGTGAGAGCCATTATCAGTCACCAACACCATAGGAACCTCTTCTCGACCAAACACCTTTCTTAATGCTTGGATTGTGAAGTCAGAATTTGATGAAGTTGTAAAAAAAATTCAGGTCACTTTGAAAAAAAATCAATAACTACTAGTACATAGTATTTATCAAGAAACGGACCACAATAGTCAGCATGAATCCTCTGCCAGGCCTCAGACGATACTAGCCATGGCGTCCACTTCGAAGGATGGTTTTTCAAATGGTGACATTTCTCACAATTGTTTGCTGTACGGCATATGTCTGCATTTATCTCTGGCCACCAACATGTGAGCCTTGCCAAAGACTTCATTTTCTCAACACCTAAATGACCACTATGAATATCTTCTAGGACAGATT